ACTCACTATCATTTAAACATTAATTTATTTACGTATGATGAACTTATTTCGCAGTGTATGTAGCCAAACGTGCTACTCGGAGGGGTGGCTGAAACCCGAATTAAAACTTAGGTTCAACAGCAGTGTTGACTCAGTGCTCTGATACAGTATCGTCCTCTTCAACCATTTTAAATGGAAGTCTGTCATACATGATATATACCCTTACCCACCACATGCAAATAAGCAGGAGCTTCTATCAATTCCAGCTCTGTATCCATACCCATGTTAAATAATTTTGGACCTGATTGCACGCCACGAAATAAGTATACTCGACTGTGTTTCCACCATATAGATGCAAATCATGCTGGCATTAAATTATAACTGAATCGCAACTCCCTACAAATTACCCCATATCACCTGAATGCACCCTATCTCATACTTTACGAGATAAGGAGTGCCGAGCTTGAAAATCGTTTTTTCTTTATCACGGTTGCCGAACACGGGCTCAAAGGCATAATATGCCCAGTGCAGAGCAACACGTAGTTGAAATAGATAAGAATTCGTATGTCTCTTGAATTGAAAAAATATATAATTCTTAAGTCGAGTAGTGTGAGGTAAAGAGCAGTGGTGTTTGAATGGGTGACCACTAGTTGAGGTGGTCACGAGTGGCCGCACAGCTATGGATTTAGTCCGCATATAAATAATATAATGGCTGTGGATTTAATATATGTGTAGATTAAATTATCCCTCGTAGGCAATGTTTTCTCCAGGTACTCTGGTTTTCTCTCATAAGCCAAACAATAATGAATATAATGGGCCAAATAGCCCAAGGAAAAACTCTCCTGAAAAATAATTTGAGACTCATTGAGGTTTTTCCTGGGTAAGTAAATTGGCATTATTATTGCTCTTTGCATTGTACAATGGCCTGCAAAATAACAACACTGTCTTTACGTTAGTTGAGATTGACGTTTAAAAAATATGAAATGTATAAAATAATGTTTTCTTCTAAAACTATATTTATAGTTTCAGTCTGACGATGGTATATTCAGAATACAGATTAGCTGTGTAGAGTAGCAGAGCTCATAGCTGTGATGCTGTGCGTTCACATCCTGGCCAAAATTTATACAGCCCCCTCATCATTAACTTCCTAGTGTCAGTGAAGCAAGTGTCACGTTGTGAGCGGCAGTATTTAGTATACCTTGTGGTTCATTTGTAAATTGTGGTTCATTTGTCAAGGTACTCTACTTAAAGCAACTGACTCGCAATTACAAATCCCCGATGGGATCGACTCGGCCCATTGTCGTGCTGGGGCCAGAAGCAAGTAATCAACAGTAGTCATCTGATGGAGAAACTGGCATTCGCTCTGAATCAGTACAGTTTCTTTTTCACTTGCTATGGACTGCCACATTCTCACATTCGCAGGAGGACGTTTTTATTTTGACTTGACCAAACTTTGCCCGAGGAATGTGATTTGCCACTGCTGGCTGCTAGTGCAGGGATCAAAATGTACAGTATGATTTATGTGTTCATGTTCTTGAAAACATTCACCACACTCTTGAAAAAAGTGTTATTTTTAAAAACGGGGCCAACTTCTAGTTTTTGAAAAAAAAATTATGGACTATCATTTAATCATGTTTTTCAGGTTGAATATAAATTGCCAGGTTCATCGCTTCAATGGTACGCTAACTACTGCGCCGCTGCTACACTCCAACATAAGTGGCGAGTGGCAACATCACAGGTGAGGGATATCTGAACTGGTCCTGGGCACACTCACGTTCAACAACCCACATTGACCAGAGTGGTTAAGTATGGTCATACAACTGTGGTGCCACAGTAGCGAAGCCACACCGTTGGAGCCGTGCCTGCAACTGTGATGCCGCAGCAGCGAAGCCGTCCTGCCGACTCCGTGGCCGTGACGCCGACACCTCCGAGCGACGGGGCCGACGCTGCTCTTCCCTCACCACTCCTCACATGAACACACACACACACACCCCCATAGAGCCCCGAGGGGAGGTCACCTGGCCGACAGGTTTTCACCCAGAAGCCCTCTCATGGGACCAAACTTTATGGTTTCCTGCGACAAGGGAATTGGGCGACCACCCCCAAGGCTAACGTGCACCGCGGCGCCGTGACTTGGGTTGTAATTACATGGTCACGACGGGGCTGCTGAGCCACCGCGGATAGAAAACACCCACAACACACACGGGTCAGCAGGCAGGTAGGGGGGGTATGGTAGGACAGATGCGCTTGTTTAGAGGGTGAAAAGCGGATGTCTGAGAGAGCACCGGCCCGGGGAAAGTGGTGGGAAATCCGAGCCACCTGATTGGACGGGAGGCCAGCGGATCAGCGCCTATTTATCTTTGATGTAGAGTACAATAAAAAGGGTAGAGAAGATAGGGAGAGGGAGTTCGTATTGTATTCAAGCCAAGCTCGGGGTCGTCGACTTCCCAGCCACTCGAACGTCCATGTGACGAGTCGAAGTGCAGTGAGAATCCGACCCAGCAGCTCCGTACAATTCGAACCGTGAATACCCGAGAGTGAGATATTGAGGCCATTGGGAGATTGTCTTAGGAGAGTGATTTGAAAGAGACGATACAGATCGGGTCTTAGACCATCGGGAGATAGGTTAGACCTGCCCTGCTGACTCAAACTGACTCGGGTAATTTAGCCTCGGATTCGCTGAGAATAAACTGCTGGGGATCAATAAACCTTGTCGTGTGGTTTCTGCGAGGGTGGAACGGATGCATGTTGGTGTGCGTCGTTGTACCCTGTGTTTGTGCGTGAGGGTGTATTTACTCACGTGTTTGCGCTCGCCCATGTGTGTGGCTCGTGGTTAGCGTGTGCTTGTGGTAAGTGGCGGCGGCCTCGTACAGGGGCACGTGAGATTACTCATACCCCGTTTCGTTTAATGTGTGCGTGAGGCTAACGGGCGGCGTACACGCGAGATTATTTGTGCGGCCTTTTGTTTAGCGTGTGCGTGGGGTGAACGAGCGGCGTACCTGTGAGTTTGTTCATACAGCCCTTTAAATAAATCTCCGAGACAACCCCCCAATCGGCTGCGCGTGTGCGAGTGACGTCCCTGCCCTCTGACCCCCAAAACCCAAGTCCCGCGCGCGCGATTGCTGCGTGGCACGGTAGATGAGCGACGTCGGATTTCAAGTGAGTAGGTGTGAGTGAGTGTGCGCGGAGATTGGGTGAATTGATCTCAGGTGGCTAAGCGCCAGCCACGAATCATGCCCCACGGGGCCGCAGCGAAGGGGGGGGAGTCGGTGAGCAGTAACCCTCCCCAGGACACGGAAGACCCGAGCAGTGGATCCCACCTGAGCGAGGAGACGGGAGTCAGCCTCCCCGACACAACTCCCACGACTGATGAAGTATGCGGTGTCCTTCATTTAGCAGTGGATTGACAAAGGGACTGTACAACAATTTCTGGTGTATCTGAGTAGGATGTGTGTGATATTGTAAATGTCAGAACGTAAATATATTTTCATTTGTGGAGTTTTCATATTCGCGGCTCTCTGATGTCTCGTTTTATAAAGTTGACAGAGCGTATCTCTTCACAGTGCAGTGACTGACTCAGAGACACTAAGAGTAGGAGGCACTCTGTTTATTAACACGGCCTGACAGTAACGCTTAGTAACTACGGTTCCCAGTCATGACAGCTGGTAGACTGCCTGACTGGCGACGCCGAGATCATGAAGAGAAGATGACGGTGAAGACTCCAGCAGCACGACGGGATCCGGCTCCAAACAACAGCCCCGAAGTCCCCTTCCGGGGCCCCTCTTTTACTGTTAGCGTGGCCTGGCCCCGCCCCCTTCTGGAACCTACTAGCGGGTTCTCGATGTGCCCCTTCCGTGACCCTTCCCCTAGATCCCTCTCTCCGGTCTATCACCTGACCTTCTATCAGTCAGGGCTGCTGTAAGCTGCAGATCCCCTTCCCTGCCAGCAACCAGCGCTATGTTGCTACGTGACAGATTCTGTCACTACAATAGTATGCAATAAAAAGTGATGCAGGCTTTAAAAAGCTTTGAGTAAACATGTTGTGTGACATGGCTCACAGTAATATTGATGTAAACATTCAAGCACAAGGTTCACGTATCAATTATAATACCGTAACAATTTACAACCCTCTGTCAATCCACTGTTGGATGAAGGCCTCCATACGACACATTTATACTTACACGATCTAACCCAAACATTATTTATTATGATCAGTTCCCTATTCAAATAGGAAGCCTCATTCAGTCATAAGTCTACTTTTAGGATGTACGGCAAATTCCCTTTTGAGGATTGTTGGCCGTTTCCTTGTTTGAGTAATATTGTGTGAGGTAGATCCTGAAAAAAAATCCAACCCATACAAGACGAAAAGTTTTAGCTAGCACAGATAGATGGGAAATCTACTTGCTGTACCACCTGCCATATGCATCTTTCTAACTTGGAAAGTGTACCACGTGTATACCGGCTCCACATCTACGTAAACAATCTACCCTACCGGGTGCAGTGAAGAAAATAATAATAATACTAAAAGGGACAGCACAAATCATTACTGGATTACAATATTTCCCTGCCAGATAAATACAATTGAAACCAGACAAGGATCTGTTTAACTGGTAAAAATAACATTTCCTCCATCACTCAAATAAATTGTGTTCCAGCAATTTCAGCAGGCAAACTCTGAACAGCTTTTGACTTTCGAGTCTCATCAGCAGTGTAACCTGTAAAAGAAAACAGTGCTTGGCTGTTGTTACAACTGAATGTCAGCTTGGTAACACTTGTAGCTTAAATAAAAAACAGACCACCCAGTGTTGTGTTCCAATCGTATATATTATGTTGCGGACAGATTTTAGGGATGTAATTCTCCAAAATAATACTTAAATGTTACTCATAAACAGCAGCTGGCACTTGGACATCCACAAAGCCGTGGTAGTGGGGGAGCTGGTTTCACAGGGATTTCCCGTTCTTCGTTGTTTTCAGTCCACATTGCTCAGCTACACCCTGTTCAAAGTGTCCGCCTCTTTTTGCTACATTCTCAGAAAATTACATCACCACTAGCAACACATGTTAATGTGATATGACGTAGCTACATGAGTCAACCTGGGGGTAGAGGGTGAGTCAGCATGTGCATTAAAGTGGTAAAATACACGTGTATATATTTAAATATCACACGGTCAACTGACAGTCTATGGAGGACCTGACTAAGACCTGGTTAAAACACAGGGATAATGTCAATGGATCTTTAACTGCCAAAAACACATCAAAGTGTAATTTTATGTCCTAGAATAAATTATTGGGTGGATTTAGGGATAAAATTGTGTAAATCTGGGTGAGTAGCTTTCCACCCACATGTGGTAGTGAGTTAATCATAAACTTGTGTCTGAGTTAAAATCAACACTTTGATTTTTGTTCGTATAGATTTTGTACAATTCATGATTTGTGGGAGTCAACTCGTATCAATCTGTGCGCTTAGTAAAGAGTTTGATAGTTTTTGATTTCCTCTTCTGTGCGTTTCCATTAAATAGGGGTATCCTTTGTATTTTAATTTCAGACGTAATTACATTCAACTCTTCTGTATAGTGGTCAGAGCCTTATGGTTAATTCATACTGAACCCTTATAATCTTTTCCATAATCTAGCTCTCCAAGTTTCAGACGATAAAAAGTCTAAGTTTCTTCGAAAAAGCTGCCTAGTTCTCTGAGCCTCAAGAATTTAAAATGATCCATAAAATCCAAAAAGCTTCAGCGGCGGTTCTGGGCTCCAGGTTGAGGAGGCAACAATGTTACCTTGGGTTTTCCAGTCACAGGTGACACGTCCAGGTGGATTTATTGAGTGACTCAAATTCGCTGGTAGTGGTTTCATCAACAGTACTTCCTCCAACAAACAGTACATGCAGGCCATGCAGCTTCCCAGGAGTCATATTTTGGAAGGAGCCCAGCACTGGTGCATTATCACATGTTGATTTACAATGATCATTTAACCCACCTGCACGCGTAACCTGAAACAGGAAAACCCAAGGCAGAATTTGTTGCCTCCTTAAGCTGGAGGCATGACGTGCCACTGTTGAGATTGATACACTGACCAAGTACTTAAACATCCTAAAAGTATCAGTTGAATCTTGGGAGCTTCAGACACTGATACTCAACCCTAGGATTTATAAGGTTTCTGAGCCCCGTACAGTGAAATGTACATCTAATAATCCTAACAATATCTTAGTCTAGCTCTTTGAGACTATAACTAACACTTAACACGAGGACATTTCAATGGCACATTGTGTAATCAACTTGTTGCGTGAGTAAACTCATACATAAAATAACAGGTTAATAAAAAAAATTATGCCAGATTTTTTTACACTCACTGACATATCCCATTTCTCTCAGTGACAATTAAAATATATTTTTAATTAACAAACTAAACACATTCGTCTTCATGTGCGATTAAGAAGAACTTTTGCACAAAACGTCACCTTTTATATATATTTTTAAGGGTACAGTGTTATTGTCGAATGTGGGGAGTTTTTAGTTATTTGTGCATGTGCATCATGAGCCATCGCAACAAATTCTGTATTTTATTACTTTTTATTCACCGATTATTTATTTGTACATTAGTTATTGCTGTATTTAAAACATCCAGAATTCTAAGAAACCTAAGTACACCTTAAATATTTTTTTCTTCCGTCATTAACCATTAATTATGAACTGTAAGAACTGATCAACCCACTTCTTTAAGACGTGGTCAGCAATAACAAAAACATAACAGTCTTCCCAAAGGGCACATTTTGTCACACCTGACCACACAAGCATGAACTGTTTCTGCAACTCTTGCACTATTATTCCTGCGAAGGGCCAATCTAAAAATGTTCTCAACATCTTTACCAGTGGTATGCTAGACTAAATGTGCACATTCTACATTATATTTTTTGTTATTAAATGTTGGACTAGTTCCATTGAATGACTGTAAAAAAATATAACCAGTTCTAGGAATTTGCGTGAGTCATATATTTTATTGCATATATTACATAACATGTTACGTTGCCTATGATAACATCATCTGGAATGTGCTGATCTCATTAGATCTCAGAAAGGTAAGCACGATTTGAGCTTGGATGGGCGACCACCATGAATGTAGGCTACAGGGTAACGTCGTGGGTAGCAGAGGCCAATGCAGCAACATCCATTGCTCTACTGCTGTTCTACACATCAAGATCTATGCACCTCACCTTCCCCAAACCGCACTGACCAGCGTGATGAAGTATGATTAAATAGTTACCATGACCTGTACTGTGTGGGGCGGCTCTCATCCAGCAATGGATTGACAAAGAGCTGTACATGTGCATGATGTTAAGTTATTGCAGACTGTTGGTGACTATAGATTGAGGGTGGTGACATGCCACTTAAACATAATAACCACTGTCTCAGATGAGCTTCGACTGCATGTATATTTTTCCAAGTGGATACCGGCACAATGAAAAGATGCGACTAATTATGTATTCCAATCTATGGCTACCTATCACTTCCCTACCCTCCTTGCCTGTGTCTGGGAACGCCATCTCCATGAGCTATTGCAGTGGCTCGTAACTTTCCACTCGCTCCAGCAGGGCCTCTGTGTATCCAGGTGAATAGTACCTGCAAGGCGACGGGCATGCAGACAAGGGGGGTTAGGTTAATATGGTGGAGCACAACCCCAATGGAGTGATTTCAGGGCAGGGTTGCCTTGGGTCATGAGGGTGCCATGGTGGCGAGATGTTAACTACTTTGCCTGGTATGCAGGAGATCGTGGGTTCGATCCCAAACCTGATGTCTATTTATTTGTAGTTTGCATGTTCTCCCCATGGCCACGTGGATTTTTCTCCAAGTCCTCCAGTTTTTCCCTTCACATTTAGAATCAACGTGCATTTTAAGTATTTGGCTGCGATAAATGTCCACGTGATAAGCCACTTCGTTGAGCTATCACTTGTGGCCAGGTCGCTTCTGAAAAAGAGCTATATAGCTCAGTGGGCCTTACGTGGTAAAATATAAAACAATTTATACATAGCTGGAGTTTAACTTGTATATTTGGGGGGTAGGGGTTCGCTTTGTCTCTCACATTATGGTCAAATTACCCCCATGCCCCACATGGCATGGATTGACAAAGGGCAGCACATGTTCACGTGCATATTTATACGTGCATCAAATTAGAGTGTATGTTCCTCCACTCAAATAAGCATTGGAAAGTGATCATCTTCACAGACAGTCTTAAGTCAGTGGTGATTATCAAAAATCATTGACTGAGAAGTACAAATATAACTACTTACCCCTTTGGATAAACTGGCACCTGTCGATGTAATGTGTATTGTTCACCACTGGAGCTGCCAACACAATCGTGTGCTGGCTTTGGCAAAATACATCACCGGAATGATAATGGCCAACGGTCGAGACTAATGACAGACTGGAAGCTGAAGGAGGGAATGTGCCCGACAAGTCATCCACTGCGTGTGCAGGAGCTAAATGGATTGCAAAAGAAGAAGATGGCTTCGGGAGGCCTTCATCCAGCAGTGGCCAAATCATAATAAATTAGTATGATGATGGTCTCAGGGAGACACTTTGCATTGCCTTGGTTTAATGAAGACTGCATGCGTAAAGCGAGACACGCAGCATTATGCGTGTCACATGATCAGCTCGGTAAGGTACCTGACGACCTCCTCTGGGTAGCAGGCATTGATGGTGTTGATGTATTCGTAGAGTGCCGAACCCGGCTCCGCCTTGATCTCCTGCACGACCTTGAGACTCCCACTCGTCACAAAGAGCCTGCGTGCCTTACTGTCATGGGGTAGGACCTGGCAGCGAACACAGAGCATGTGTACACAAAGGGTAAAATCAAACTGCAAGTAAATACTGCAGGCAACATTGCGCTGACCAGCACAATAAATGCTGCTACTATGTGAAATGTTAACCTGGAAAATCCCCAAGTCCTTTTACAACTATTTCAAACGAACCATTAAAATGTGTCACCGTTATCAGGTATGATCTATCCCGTGCTGGATGAATGTCTACCCAAGCCAGTCCTATGATAGAAATAATCCATGAGCTGATTTCATCCCTATTAGCTTTGAATGAGACTTAATAATGTTTATTTGGAAACGCTGAAAACAACATATCCACCAGGAGGTTATGTGATTATTACAATATTATGTGATCGAATGATACCTCATTCTGCATTAAAAACGTACTCATGGATGCTGATGAAACAGTTTGGCATTCTAACTTCTTAACACAGAAATGTAACTTCATCAGTCATGATAGTACAAATAATTTCTTTAGGATTCCGATTATAGGAAGAATCACAGATTCTCAGACCCTCGTGGATATCAAATCCCAGATAAGACTATGGATAAGAAAAGTAGTTTATAAATATTTTAATTTGCAATACGTATCTCCGAAACGAAGACGTATGTGACACGTCCAGGCTACAGCCAACTGTGTGTCCTGGGCTTGTCTGATACAAGCTTGAAACTTTGTTGATACGAAAAAAAAAATTCAAACTGGCTGTCATGTATGACTGCCATGCTTTTTAATACATCACCAGAGTGGAATTGATAATACCCACAGCATACCTGAGAGTTACATATATTTATTTTAAAGACGGATGTTACACAAAAACCTTTAAAAATACTTGAAAGTTACAGTCATAAAAATAGTCATATGACTCTCTAATGACGTCATTGCATTTGCATTACATTATAACATACAGGATTCACATTGTAATGATATCACGAGAAAAGTATAAATATGCCACCTGACTGTAATATATATTTGTATTAACTTGTGTTGGCCACACAGCCATGTTTATATGATGAGAGGTATTGAGTGTTTGGGATGTACCTTCTTTTCAAGTTAGTTACGTTTTTTTCATTTACAGCCCTATCTAAATCCGATGCAAGAAGAAGGCCTCCCCATGATATGTCAGCAATGGAGGTTGTTTAACCTTACTTCACCAAACAAGTAAAATGCAGGTTGGTGAAAGGAGAGGCCAAGGCCTGGTTCAGATATCATTCGACATTGACGTTAGCCATTGCCGTGAATCGAATTCGGGTGTCCGGGTTCGTGCCACAGTGTGCTACCGTGCCAACCCGGTGTTATACACAATAGTCAAATGTAGTGGTGAAGTGAATGAGTATTGTACTGCTGGTGCATGCGACACCTTGCTGAATTGGCCCAGCACGTGCTTGAGGATGTTGGGGGGTGCAGTGTAGAGCATGGGCTCGAGCGCAGGCAAGTGCACGCAGCGCTGCAGGATGTTCTTTAGTGCGCGCTTCGACTGCACACATTAACACACAGCATCAGAAAGTGTATTTAGACTGGAGGAATCTGATTAGCTATGCAGCTTTTTTTCACAGATGTCCACACAAACACAAAGCCATACGGATTGTTGAAGTCAGCATTTAAATATACAGGATGGCCCAAAAGGTTGGACACATAGTTATTATAATTATTTTAACAAATCACACAGGGTCATTTCATTTATATTAACGAATGTTCAAACTGACTGCCATTAACATTAATGCATGCATGAATTCTGTTTGGAAATTACTTTAGGACTTTTTTTTAAAGATTATAGGTGTAATCTTTGAACATTAATCAATTGTGTTTTCTCTAAATTAAAATTTTCAATGTCATCTGAATAGGAAGACGAAAAGGTTATATTAATAATCATAATAGATAGCATCTTAACTTAAAGAATAAACATTTTAAATTTTATTCAGTGTTAAAATGAATATAATAACCCTATGTGTCCTGACTTTTGGGCCACCCTGCATAAATACCTTTGTCAATCCACTGCTAGATAAAGGCCTTCCTCTGCTGTGTCGTCCGTTGATTGATTGACTATACTTCAGCTTGCTGCCCAATGAAGCTTAGTGAGAGGATGGAGACCCCAAGACTGCTGCAGAAATTACCCACCATCAATTCCAGCATTGGCAGAACATCAAATCCAAGCCGCTGGATGGGTTCATAGTGCAGTATGCAAACCACTGCACCACCATTACATGCCTATAAGACTCTTCGGTTGATGCTTGTAACCAGCAGTGTGGTGGAGTGATGGCACAGTAGTTATGAACCACGACCTATATTTGGCTTATGGTCATGGCAAACACCACTGGGAAGCGACATCTAAACTGGTCCTGGGACCAAGACCCCTCAGCCTGACACTACCCCCCACCTCTCTCCAAACACCAGACCATGCTTTTTCTACCTCAAAAAAAGTTTACATGAGGACATCAAAACTCCATGAGCAAGAGCAAGATTTCTAAGCAATGGGTTTCCTTGCAAAATATATGATAGCCATAGCTAGGGAGGGCTCAGTTGTGGTCACCTGTATTGACAGGATGTTGATGCGGATAGTAATCGATACTGGAGCTGTTTTAAAAATTATTAGCCAAGAGATGCTTCTAAAGCTGAATAGACCACACACTACACTATTACCCTCAAAGCAGAATATCACAACCCATGCGCTGGTTGATCAGTGTGCACACATTCCTCCACTATCACATGTGCTAATTTCTTTAAGATTTCCCTATGGACATCGATACGACTCAGATCAGATGCCCTTGACATATTAATCACACCTAATTCATTGCCTCTTTTAAATAACATCTTTCCACAGTAAGTGCTATTGTCTGGCAAGAAAATGACCCTAATATACAAACTGCCAACCCTCTTAGTATAAAAGGACTATCCTGCTTAAGTATTACACTTAAGCAGGATAGTTTTAAAACTGCTTTTATTCTGTCACCGTGACTGTATTTCTCCCTGTGTTTTTCTTCAGGTCTCTTAAGTCTCAATGGGTGCCCATCTGCATTAACTGAAGCTTTGGGTGAGGTGTCACCTTAGCTTGCAGGTCTTCGGAGCTGTCGGCCGACATGTAGAGCTGTAGCAGCTGGGGCAGCACGTTGCTCATGGCAACGGCGCGCGCGTGCTCGGCCGTGTGGCGTCCGATCTGGCCGAGTCCCCACGCCGTCGTGGCGCGGATGTAATCCTCTTTCTCTTCCACCAGGATGAGGGCCAGCTGGGGCACCGCCTGTGTGTACACACACACAGCGTGCACGCATCACCAGCACAACCTACAGAATTAATGTATTTATACATGCAACGAGCTATAAGCCGTGAACACTAGATACTAGCAGCTGGTTTCACCTCTTGACGAAACAGCAGAAACACCCTGTATCAGAATATGCACAATATGTGATGAACATATTGTAATATGTGATGATCATATTACAATATGGCTGGATCGATTTTGGCAGTAGTGTTCGCTGATCAAATGTTTTCCTGGTCCTAATGTTATTTTCTTCGAATATTGAAGAACATTAGATGGATGTTTCACTCTATTAGTCAGTCACGAGTGGCTGATGTGAGTTCTATAAGGGCTAGGGATACATTTAGTACAGATATATTCAATGTTTTTTTTGTTTATACATAAAACAAACAAAAAAACAACTAAATATCTGGTTTTCCTCCTTCCCCAAGAGAAATTGGGTAACATGTTTTTGTTACTTTTACATTATATTTGAATCTAGGACTATGACAGTCAGCATTTGAGGGTTTTCAACGGTGCTTAAAACAAACATAATAAAATGTTTAAATCTGAAAACCAAAAGTACGTCATATTTTCAAAAACTCTTTTTTGTCAGGTATTTTTTTAAAGAGCGTGTGATGTTGAAACTTAAAGAACGTGAGAAAAGCCCACTTACCATTGACTATTATTACTATCAGGGCTTAAATTATCAATGAATATTTTACAGGTCACTAGTAGACTGGAGTTGGCACGTGACTAGTAGCCACAGCCATAGCAAGAGGTATACTCGACATGGTGTGCTGGCTGCAGAAATTGAGCCATCATTACAATAATTAGCAGCATCTCATTACAATAATTAGCAGCATCTCGTTGAATGAGAAACCAAAATGCAGGTGACCTCCCCAAATCGCACACCGTACCTTGGCAGTGATGACGGTCAGAGCGAGCGTCTCCCCGTGTGCTGAGATGTAGCCAAGCGCCATGATGCCAGGCAGGCGCACGCTGCCCATGCTGTCGCCCACGTAGTCCACGATGGCAGCCAGTGCTCCATTGTTTACGAGCAGTTGAGACAGCTGGGATGTACACGGGGAAAAAAAGAGCATGCATCTGTATATAAGGGATGTTTGTCTTTGTTTTTGTTAGCAATATATTGTATACGTGTGCTGGTCCTGTCATAGCACACAGGTCACCCTTGCGAACAAGACAATATTCATATTAATCAATCTCTTGTTGTAATAAAGATTGAAGTGGATAGGATTTATGAATAATGGCACAGTAACTCATATTTCTGGCCATCCTTGTCACCCAATTCCTGATCACTGTAACTGGTACTTATTGTAGACTGAGTCTGACTAGGGGAGGTCCTGTGTGTGTGTGTAAGCAGTATCTCAGTCGCACACAGACTGTGCAACTATTTCAGTAACTTTGGGTCAATTCCCAGTTACAAATATCCCAGTTACAAATATCCCAGTTACAAACAGTGGTTTGTGCTGTGTAAATATCAGTACTCAGGAGACAAAAGTTGATAGGCATGGTGCTGGCCACACCACACTATCTTATGTGATGATAACCTTCATAATTGTTCACTGACAGCACTTGTCCGAATAATTAAAAATGCTAAACTGGAGACCTTTTCTATTTATGTGTGAATGGGTGTTTGTTTATTTATTTCTGGCGAGCAATGGCACAGTAGCTGCACACTGCTTACAATGTAAAAAGAAACTCACGCACTCATCAATAACATTACCATAAAATTATATATATAATCACCGGTGTTTCGGGTAATGGCCCTTTTTCATAGTACATTATAATGAAGGACCAGTGTGCGAAATATCAGCAATTAAATATCTATTTTTTATTTTAAGGTAAAGTTGATGAGTGTATTGAGGTTTTTTTTGTTAACCGTGCTTGTGCACCACTGCCAATGCAGCATCACCAAATTGTTGGCTGCTCAGATTTTATTCTGGCCATACACTATTGGCAAATTATATCGGAACCTGGCCTGGGCCTCCCTTAGGTCGACTTATCCTGATGCAGTGAAAAACATTTTCAATTCTGAGACAAAGGAGGCCCGGAGTGGTGATAGGTGCCGCTTATGTTATCCTTGGCTTGGAATTGAACCTGGGACACTGGTTTGTTTGTGAACCACTGATCGTAGCGGTAGTGTAGCGGTTAGCACGCTGCGCTATGAACCCAGCAATCTGAGTTCGATTCCTGCTCATGGCCAACATCGGTAATGAATATCTGAAGCAGTCTTGGGCCTACCCTAGTTCGACTCAGCCTCAAAATGTGTACCCAGTGCGGTCTGTAAACATCGCCACTCGGAAGACAAAGGCAGCCGGGTGTGGTGCTGGCGACCCACCCCCTTGTGTACTATGCCGGCCTTCATAAGTGCTCGCTTACAGAACTTGCCCCAACAGTCTGTTAAGGCTACATGGGGGATCTTTGTCTTTGCATCTCACACAAGCACAAACACACGTGCCACACACGCAGACCCACAAAGACAAAGATTCCCCATGAAGTCTTTGTATGCTAGCACAGTACATGAGGGAGTGGTGAGGCCAACACCAAGCTCGGCCACCGTGTTCTCCCCACTGCCGACTCTTATACATTCGCCACAATAGGATTTGAACTCAGGCAGCCGTGTTCACGGCGCGATACGTGAACCACTACGCTATCACTCTCCACACACACACAAACCTACACACGTGCACGCAGAGTACGGAGCGAGCCGGTACCTCGGGGCTGTGCTTGGCCACCTCCCGCACAAGCGTGGCCACGTTCTTGCGCACGTACTCATCGGGGTCGCGCAAGCCACTGAGCGCCGCTGGGAAGATGTCTGCCTCCACCACCAGCTCGGCCAACTCCACCGAGTGCTTGGCGATCTGACTCAGAGCCGAGAACACTTGGCGCTGTGCGGCCAAACCGACCGCCACATAACAGCCACAAACCAGCAGTTAGCAAAAACACATCAACCACTCGTTAGTAACAACACAGTCGACCAGTGATTCGGAGGCACATTACGATTTATCCACAAAATTATTGAATTAATTGACACAATGTGGGAGGTTGCAATTCTATCAAAGAATCAATTATTTTAATCCAATTTTTATTGTCTGATAAAGTTTCCTTTCTCCATTATCTTAAATGTAACATAAAAATGTAACTCAAAATAGTTATCAGCATCATTGTGAAGTATATAAATCACATAATGGAAACGCAGACCATGTCTCCTTCATATAACTCTCTCCACATAAAAAAAATTAAGTATAAATTGTGTCTGCTCATATATTTTGTGACATGTATTTATATTTTCCATAATTATGCTAATAACTCTGAGTTCTGTATGATATAATTTTGTGTCGAATCGGAGAGAGGCCTTGTCCTTCACATCTGGCAGTTCAGAAGCATTGATTTAATTAAGCCTGCCTGCTGATGAGACACTATGTCAAAAAGCAGAATAGAGTTTGCTTGTACTGACTCAATGTTTATCTAATTATTCACTCCAAGAAGGCTGTGGGGTTGAGTTGTGTAAAACATGTATTTATTAAGTATATATGTTTCGATTTAAAGCTTTCGTGACTGCAAGGATTCATCTTCTTTGGTTCTTTCGGTAAAGTCACGTAGAATGAGAATAAAATAATAAATTGATAAAATAAAATAACACAATAATATTCTCACGACGTTTCGGCCACAACACAAGCGGCCTTCATCAGGTGAAGGGACGAGACTGTCTGGAGGACAGCGCTGGAGATGAAACTGACCACCAATTCATAGTCTAACACAAATGGTTGACAATGTAAAGAGTGCAATGTTTGGTAACACGACACGGACCAATGTTGTATAATTAAACGTGGGCTCTCCAAGGAAACGCAACACGGATGATCGGTTGGCCTACGCCACACAACTACTGCTCACCAATGCAATGCAGCCCACTGGTGGATAGCAAAACGAGCCACTGTTCATAAACACAGTAGACCATCGTTGGCAAACAACACGTGAATTCGTAAATAACCCAGATTAAATCAAAAGTCAGCTCAAAAGTCAAGAAATTGATTTCCCCATACAGCCACGAATAGGGTAGCAAAAATACTCAAGTATGGTACTTTACTACAGTCAGAATCAAGCAGGTACCAGCTTATAACTGCAACATTCAGTACTGTAAATGACAATCTCACATTCAAGACAGTGCCTCCTAGCTGCAAACCAAACAAGTAGGCATTGTTCAACATTGGTAACATGTTTTAAATGTACACAGAGTGGCTTTATTAGAGCTTTCCCCCCAGGCAAACCCCCTACGTTAATGGGAAGGCATGAGAAAATGTTTTCTCTGTATAACCTTTTGCAGTTGATGACATAATATTGAATGATCCCTTACGGCAACAAGCCAATGAAACAAATGCATACATCATGGGAGTAACTCAGCGTAGGTTCACACCTTGAGCTTGGCGTCTGGGTTGAGCACCATCTGGGCAAGGTGAGCTATGGCGCCCGTGTCCACCACAGTCTGTGCAAGCTCCGCCGTGTGCTTGCTCACGTCGCTGAGCGCGGATGCAGCGATTCGCTTAAGCGCCAGCTCGGGCTCCTGCAAGCACAGCACGAGCAGCGGCACCGCGCCTGCGTCCACCACCGCCTGTGCCAGCTCTGTACACACCAAAGGCAAAAGACAAAGATATCCCATATAGCCATTAACAGACTCCATAATAGAGTTTTTTTGGGTTAGATCACGTAAATATATTTGTCATTAAAACCCGCTACCACCTGACACATCCAACTAGTAAGGGTTGTCACGTATACAGAACATGCCAATTCGTTACTAGTACAGCACATTGGGGTGTTAGAGAGCCAAGCCACAACATTTACAATATGAGTACGAGGTTTTTTCCAGTAATTGCAACTCGCTTCACCATGCTCCAAATGTGTCACCTGCCCATATGTCAATCAACCCACTAGATTAAACTTTTTAAAAACCTATTAAAATACTTTTTATTTTACCAGGTAAGGCCCCCTAAACTATATAGCTCTTTTACAGAAGCGACTTGGCCACAAATTATAGCTCAACGAAGTGGCTTATCATATAGAAATGTATAGCAGCCAAATACTCTAAACGCATGTTTCTAAATGTGGAGGGAAAAACCGGAGGACCTGCAGAAAAAGCCATGTGACCATGGGGAGAACATGCAAATTCCAGATATACAGCCGTCAGGGTCGGGATTGAACCCACCTCCTGTATACCAGGCGAGTTAGTAAACATCTCGTCACTATGGCGCATACTCTCCACGTGCTGTACACGCATAAAATAAGTGCAAGCACCATATATTTGCATGTGCATTCATGTGCCATGCGATTCACATACAGAATGGGGACCACATACACATGCATGTACACAATACATATATAAATATATATCCGCCATGTAGCCTGTATCGACTATTGCAGAAAATTCTAATAGCGAGCTGCTATGAAGGTCGGCATGGGTTGGTGGTGTGGTCCGTGCTATGCCTGGTCATCTTTTTTTCCCCATTACTGTTATTTACTCAGCCTACCAGTCAAGTGTTCTACTATGGCTCCACACGAGTGATCTCTGCATTGCCCTACCCATGGAGCGACTCCGATGAAGGAGGTGTCGGTGTGCAGTTCCTCACCAGCATTGTGCCTGGCGATGTAGCTGAGAGCCCACGCGGCCGCCTCCTTGACCCCAGGATCAAACTCCTCGAGGCACGCAGTGAGGGCGTCCAGTGCCCCGCACTCCACCACGGCACCCGCCAGCTCCCCTGAGTGGCGCGCCACGGCACGCAGGACAAATGCGGCCGCCTTCTTGTAGAAGCGCTGGCCGAGTGAATGACGGTCAAGTGGGCACCAGTGGTGATAACATGGGGGAGGAGGGTGATTGTTATATTTTTGTCATTAGATACTTTCCCATGGCAACGAACATTTGAAATAACTTCTCCGAGCTAAGATCATTAATGATGCCGAAGAATCATTAATGATGTTGAAGAATCCGTGAATCTATGAGTCTTAGATATTAATACCGAGCCCTACAAATGCTAAGCGTGTCTTAGGCTGGCGCTCTGAGCCTCAGGCATTAACAATGAATCCTAAAAGGATCCAAAGTTTACTTCTATGAGTGTTGGGTTTAAATAAGAAACCCTAAGACTCTTAAATGTGCATTGGTCTGGCAATGTGGGCCTAAGACATTAATATTTATATTGAACCATAAGATTCTAAAAAGTGTTGAAATGACGTCCAACAGCAAATTTCTACATAAGAGCACTCAACTGCCACCAGAGAGATCCGAGATTGAAATGTGAGAAGCTACCCATGATTAAAACAAGGTTCTCAAGAGAACCAGAGGCTACTGACAAAGTGAGTTCATTGTCTCAGTGCATTCATCTATGACTGCATGAAAAATGTGAAACTTTGGTGTGTCACTTAATTTAGTTAATTCTACACGTGATGACGATTAATTTTCGTTTGATTCGCTTTAATACTATGATAAATACTCTTCGCAGGCATAACAGGGTTGTGTCATCTAGTGTTGGATTAAAGGCCCAAAGAAATCACTTCGAAATTAGTGACATCATATTCCAGGGGCCATAAAATTATCCAGTGGCTTAATTTGGAATATGACCCTTATGATTAAAACATATCTTTCCGTGTCACTCTAGCCCCCATTCTGAAACACCAACTATTAAGATGCGGAAACAGTGTTAAACACCTTTTGAGACTAGACTAGACTGGTGTGGACCAATCAGTTTCAAAGACAATGCATATATAATCAGAGTATGTTTTTTGTTGCATTCTGACCACAAGTATTGTGGTTAATGCAGACATGATTCCTTGTAAAAGGTTTCAGTTTGGTGTTTTAACATCTTAACACCTGTTTTGTTGCCAGAAAAAAGGGGAAAACCTATTCTCAGCGTTTAAAGACTCCTCAAGAGCCTATATATGTTCCACAAATGATTTTCTTCGCAAACTAAATTATGTTAGATTAATGGCACAGAAGGCTGGGGATTAATTTACACACGGGTAGTGTGGATCATGCAATTTATCTGCGGTTATCGCGACAGCTGTGGGGTCTGGAGTAGGAGGAAGGAATTCTGACGAACGAGTTTTGTTCCCACAACAGAGACTGGGGTAGGCTGATGTGCACCAACAGTTGCTGTGGAAAAAAGCTCTGGCCACACGCCAGCATACTCTCTCTACCACTCCTGTCTGCTGCTGGTGGGGGGGCAACACAGTTAGCACCTATGCCCAATTCATACTCCACACCCAAGCAAGGAAAGTAGTTGATGTGACCATACAATTTGAATAAGAGGACACCACAATTCTCACAGGGCCGACACAGCTATAAATGAGTGCCTGGTGCAATATGTGAACATTATCACTGGGGATAAAAAGGCAACTGGGTATGGTGCTGGCCGCAACACAGTTTCTTGTGTTGTACCAGCCTTAACAGATGCTCAATAACATAATTTGCTCCAACAATCTGTAGAGAAAATCTCACCATATTCGTGAATAGTGAATCTGCTATGAAGAAGGGCCATTGCCTGAAATGCCACAAATATGTTGTGCTTGTGTCAATGAAAGTGTTTCGTTTTTGTGCTTCTGTTCCACTGCCAATGCAGTATCACAAATATTTGTTCAGCAGTCTATAAAAAAAGGTTAGTGAATGTTTGGAGGGCAGGGACCACATTGAGGACGCACATTCTGCTCGGACAGCGAGTAGATGAGCTGGGGCAGAACGTCGCCTCGCACAACGGCCTCCGCCAGGTCATCGCTGTGGTTTGCGAGACGACCCAGGGCGAGCGCCGCCGTCTGCTGCACCGTGGGTACCGCGTCCAGCAGCAGCGGCCGCAACAGAGCCATCACCCCTGTGCCACAGGAATACACTTGCATTGGTGGGACAGCCAAGGCTGGAATCACAAGTGCTAACTGCGAAACAGGGTCCAAGTGAAGAAAATCTCTGTAAAGGTCCCAGAAACCCAAGTTTCATCGATTTAAATATTTTATAATTTTACATGTTTTACTGTCAGGTTTGTAACCAGTTTAGTTACTGAGTGAGGCAGAGGCTCACTGTGATGTTATGACTGCTTTCCAGGTCAGCTAGAAAATCCCTGACGACACTTTGAAAAAAAAAGCTCCCTCGCATCGAGCCCAGTGTGTGCTTATGATATACCGTAATGCACACTGTTGTTATAAACGCTTACTCAGGAAAACCTCAAGAGTCTCAAAAATCTTTTTCAGGATGGGTGGTCCTGTGTTGTAATGTTTGGATTTTGTGGATGGTAGATTGTGATAATGTGAAGGGAGATTGGAGGTTGTTGAATTGTGATGGACATTGCAGGATAAAGTGCAAGATGATAAGGTGCAAGGTGATAAGGTGCAAGATGGTGAGCTACAATTTTTGAAACATGGTTTGGGGAAGTGTAGTTTACCAATTCATAGTGAAGAGTAACAAGTTACATCAAGTGACATGATTTTGGCACGAGGGTGTGTTGAGTTGCACTTGGGTGAAGTATAGTCAGAAGGGACAAGGTGGGTTACAATGGTGGGGTACAAATATAACGAGACATCAAATATTTGATCAATATTTATTCATAAATGCATGGTACATGCATCAAAGCGCAATAGTGAGAACTGATCTTGGTAATTTGCATAAGCTTATACTTAATGGATTCATATGAAGCCTGCAGCCTCTAGTGAGTCCTCCACAAGGAGAGGTTGTGATGGGAGGTATGGCAGTTAATGTTTTGATGGAGGGTATGGTGGCAGTGTAACGATTGTGTGCAATCGAGTGGGTTATAGCAGAGACGTAGCACAGCAAGTCACACACCGGCATTCTGCAGCGTGTCTATGTTGTGGGATCTTGTTGCCAACTCGGCCACCGTCTGCACGAACTGCGTGCGTGCTTTTTGGTACTGCTCAAACACTGTGCACAAGGGGAGACATGGGTCAATGTGCAATAGGGTTTAGAGTTAAGACAATCTCGTGAGTCATGTATGCCGATAAGATTTTAAATTCGAAGCTTGTAACAATGCACCCTCTGCATGGTGCATTGAACTGTAATTGATGTAGTTGATGTAATTGTTGTGAATGTATGGTTTATAATTACTGCAAAATATTAATGAACAAGTACAGCATTTCCATGAAACAATCACATACTATGCAGATCAATTAAAAGTAATAGATCTATACATGCATAATTCCATTAATGTATCATCCACAAGAATTTGTATTCGGCAATAATTTATTATGAAATGCCAATAAATGACTGCAGATGTTGTACCTAAAATCTTAAAGTGCATGTACAGTATAACATTCAAGTACTTTAACAGATTTTTTTGGATTAGATCGCGTAAATATATAAATTTGTCATTAAACCCGCCACCACCCGACACAGCCAATTGGTAAGGTTTGTCATGTAAACAGAACATGCCAATTTGTTACTAGTACAGCATACCGATGTGTTGGAGAGCAAAGCCACAACATTTACACTCAGATTGTAAATGTTGTACTTAAAGGGACGTGTGTCTTATAAGGGAGACAGGGGGTAATAAGGGGCTGGAAAAGAAAATACATCCCAAAAGTTATATCAATTACCGCAAAGTACCACAAAGTTCTGCAAACTACTGTAGATTTAGCGCAAAGTGTCGTAAACTACCACAAAATTACCATAAAGTACAGAAAATGATTGCAAACTACCACACATTTACTGCAAACCACAAGCTACCACTAATTTAGCACAAAGTACCACATTTTTATCATACATTACCATGAATTTAGAGGGTTGGCCTAGGGGTAAATGTGCAGTAGTTTGTAATACTTTGCAGTAACTAGTAGGACACCATTTGTACACTTTAAGTTCGTGAGTATGCAATTAGGATTTAGATGACTCTTCTGAGCTAAAACTCAATAAATTGTCAACACTGCAAAAAATGTCCCTTTATAAACAGTAAACACTTTATCACGTAAAAACAGGTCTGAATAGGAGCCTCTCAATGGGATTTTACCAAATACAATAAACTGATAAGGGCATTTAATGTGGGGTTAAAGCACGATTAAACATTATTTTCAAGTTCTACTACAATGGGGACCTTATTTAATAAGCTTGGAGAAAAAAACCTTGATTACATTTTCAACGTAAAATAAACTATTCTGTACTGTTTATAATGAATATATGGCTATACAAAAATATGAAAAGAAAATAAGGCAGCATAACGTTTAAATACATAGTGTATAACAGTATCCGTATACTACGTTCACCATGGAGTTGTATCGATAAGTTTAATTTGTGTGCCGAAGCTTGAAGATGAATTGTTGCAGCACGAAATCGTGAGATTTCGTGACGTTTGGGGAGACCATCCGGCAGTGGATATATCATGGCTAATGAGGATGTGCATTAAAAAGTATTATAAGACATGCCGAATAATAAATAATGTACATAATACAGGTTTTTTTTGCGTTAGATCGCGTAAATAGGTGTCGTTAATCCTGCCACCACTCGACAGCCAATTAGTAAGGTTTGTCACGTAAACAGAACGTGCCAATTCGTTACTAGCACAGCACACCGGTGTGTTGGAGAGCAAAGCCACAACGTTTACAATATGAATACGTTTCGCCAGTAACTACAACGATCTTCATCAGGCGACAGCCAGATTTTATATATTTACGCGATCTAACCCCCCAAAAAAACCTGTATTATGGATATTGGTCGCGAAAGCCTACGTGTTAAACTAAATAATGTACACCTACCAAAAGTATTTCTTAACTTTGGAGAATGTACATTTGTATTTTTTCATAAATTATTCGCCCTTTGTTACTATCGGCATCATATCATGAGACAAAGTGCCGTTCAAAACTGTAGCTAAAAGCACATTACCTTGCTTTAAAGCATGGCGACTTTTCAATGCCTTGACAAGTGTTGGTCACACGCCTTTAAAACGATATTTTCATTCAACCGAGCTGGAATGTTGTGAACGTTAATGGCAAGCCAAATTTTATATTGTTTTTTTTTGTATGCAGTCATTGATGACTGGGCTCTCAGGCCATCGACTCACCCACACGTGAGAACCGCGCGTAATCACACGTGGCTGAAAACCCAGGTTCGAACCGAGACGCTCAAGTGTGCCAGCTCAGTACACTGATTAGTAAGCCACCCACTCCCCTGCAATTATTTTAAGTTTAATATATTCCCAATGAAGCCGCATAGAATGATATAAAGTGCATGCTCGAATCAATATTTGGCAGAGATTTGGATGTCATAATTATTGGTAAAAACGTCACGTTCCTATGGCGAGACAAATTTTTATCAAAGGACAAGCACTGTTGGGATCATCTTCTTGGTTCTTTCAGTAAAGTCACATAGAATGAAAATAAAACAATAAAATAAAACAGAACTGTCGCTTCAGCTGAAGAAGGCTACTTGTGTTGTGGCCGAAACGTCGTGAGAATTTTATTGTCTTATTTTGTTTTATTGTTTTATTCTCATTCTACGTGACTTTACCGAAAGAACCAAGAAGATGAATCCTTGCAGTCACGAAAGCTTTAAATCGAAACTGTTGGGATCCATTTGTAATTACTTTATCGACGGCGGATGATAATGCCGGGCGGTATATATATATTTTTTAATGATCACATTGAATGACAGGAAGGGAATCACATGAATCAGAGGAATCAAATTAGAGACGCTGCGTTGCCCATTGAGGAAAGTAAGTGGGCTTAGAACAGGGCACTGCCACCCCTTGAAGAAATGGTGGCTGATGGATGAGACGGGTCACGGAACGGCAGTCAAGGCAACAACTCGAGAGGGTTCGACAACCGCGGAGATGGAGCCATTAGACCATCTCGTGCGCAGGAGCGACTGTTGGATTGCGGCAACAGTGAAGGCCATCAGTGGATGCATATAACCCTGACTGATGCTGATGATGTGACGGTGACGATGTAAACCCGAATGGGCGGAGAATCCCCAAGCGCAGCTCGAGGAGAATGCGTCCGATTAATTAAACATTGCGTTTTATTGTAGAGTACGGTACATTGAATGTATCGACCCCCTCTGGTACGGCTTAATGTTAGCGTGTTACTTTCCGCGGTGCCGCACAAAACACACGTCACTTCGCCACGTTTAATACGTTTACGACAACAACAAAATACAAACTTAAAATAATCTGTAGAACTCACCTTGAAGAACCTGTCTCTGGCTCATATTGGCGCGTGCACGCACAGTCTGCCAAAGATTTTAAAACTGCGTATTATACAGAATACAAACAACGACTGCAATCGTAATAAGCAACTGGAACGCTGCAAGGTAAATTGCAATATATCGTTAACCGTTAAAGGAGGTTGAGCTTGGAGCGTGAGTCGCGCTGTCGCCGCTGCTGCGTTAGGCCGCGTTGCCAGGGGCAACCAGAAGCAGCGCGCGTGCCGCGTCTCCCTGGCGACGGGCCGGAACCGGAAGCCAGGTGGGGGGTGGGGGGTCAACAACCCAACAAGAATGGCCATTTGATTTTGATTTAAAGCTTTCGTGACTGCAGTCATTCATATTCTTAGTTCTTTCGGTAAAGTCACGTTGAAGGGAAACAACAAAACAATAAAATATATGTAAAACAATAAAAATTCTCACGACGTTTCGACCATAACACAAACGGTCGTCTTCAGGTGTGTTGTTTATATTTTTATTTTTGTATTGTTTCCCTTCTACGTGACTTTACCGAAAGAACCAATAATATTGTTTATTGTTGTTGGGGGCCGTCCATAAATGACGTCACGCGATTTTGGACGATTTTTGACCCCCCCCCCCCCGTCGTCACACGGCGTCACAAAAAGTCAGACCCCCCCCTCAAATATGACGTCACAAAGCTCTGCTCCCCCCCCCAAAAAAAATATATATTAAACATGCTTCAAATCTTTATTTAAAGCTTTCGTGACTGCAGGGATTCATATTCTTGGTTCTTTCGGTAAAGTCGCGTAGGAGGGAAACAATAAAATAATATTGTTTCCCTTCTACGTGACTTTGTCGCTTCTACGTGACTTTACCGAAAGAACCAATAATATGCTTCAAATCGCTTTAAACTATTGTCATTGTAGTGCGTATTTAATGTGGCACTGCACTCTGATGTTGTAGGAGAAAACAATTATTGAAAAGTCTATTTATTAAGTAGAACGTGTTGTCTATATTTATTTAAAGTTGCGCATTTTGATGTGACGTCACATTTCTCACCCCCCCCCCCCCCCTTGTCACACATCGTCTCAAATTTCTGACCCCTCCCCCCCAGGTGCGTGACGTCATTTATGGATGGCCCCTTGTCGAATTCGGTGAAGAACAACAAAAGCCAAACCCCCCTCGATATTCTTAGTTTTTTTCGGTAAAGTCACGTTGAAGAGAAACAACAAAATAACAAAAAATATATATAAAACAATAAAAAAAAATTCTCACGACGTTTCGACCATAACTCAAACGGTCATCATCAGGTGTGACCGTTTGAGTTATGGTCGAAACGTCGTGAGAATTTTTTTTTTATTGTTTTATATATATTTTGTTATTTTGTTGTTTCTCTTCAACGTGACTTTACCGAAAAAAACTAAGAATATGAATTACTGCAGTCACGAAAGCTTTAAATCAAAATTTAAAACCCCCTCGATATGTCAAGAGCCGCAATGCACTGTGTGGTGAATGCGAGGCGGTGGTGGTCCTGAATAAATAACGTCACAATGCGGTCCTTGAAGAGAGTGGCATGCGGCTCCGGAGCCGCAGGATGGCCGGGGTCACACTCCCATTAAGTCACGTGGGAGGCATTTTTAAAAAGAATAATAACTTCGTCAAATTAAATTGCCTTAAAATAATTATCATACAATAGAAGACGTCTTTGGGCAAATGGCCTTGCCCTTCATCGAATGACCAATTTAAGATTGTGTTATTGTTGTGGCCCTTTATTTCAAGATGGGCCATTGCCCGAAACGTCGCAAAATGTACTTTTGCTTTTTTTAAGGCCCGCCGGTGTTATTGACGTTTGAGTTGAGTTTTTGTATCTTATATTGCTTGTGCGCCACTGCTAGCAAGTCAACTTGAGTTTATTTTGTTTAACCAGGTGAGTGCTCGTGGGAACATAATAGTCGAATTTGCAAGAGAGACTTGTCCATAAATGGGGTTTTGGGGGGCAGTTAGATCGCGTAAATAAAAATGTCGTTAAACCCGCCACCACCCGACACAACCAATTAGTAAGGTTTGCCACGTAAACAAAACATGGCAGTTACTACTTGAGCACACCAGTGTGTTGGAGAGTTAAACCCACAGTAAGAGCTACTTTGGTCACGAAAATGACCAAAGCCAAGTAAATAAAATAAAGTACCGTGTTGAAGCAAATATAAACTGGTGCAAAAACAGCTGTCTTTTAAGATTTTTTTTTACAAACATTGTTAAGCACTGAACGTAAGGTTGCCACGATATGCCGGTACAATATCTCACACTATATAAGGTCCATTATAATAGTCCGTTTTGCATGACTGTCTGGAGGACAGCACTGTCCTCCAGACAGGAGGACAGCACTGTCCTCCAGACAGTCTCGTCCCTTCACCTGATCAAGGCCGCATGTGTTGTGGCCGAAACGTCGTGAGTATTTTATTGTGTTATTTTATTTTATCAATTTATTATTTTATTCTCATTCTGCGTGACTTTACCGAAAGAACCAAAGAAGATTCATCCTTGCAGTCACGAAAGCTATAAATCGAAATATAATGTATATTGTCGTTCCGCGATGATTATTGCTTTTTTTCTTAAATATGTTATCTCCTGACAAAATAGTTATGAAATACCAAAGTCAATAAATGAAAGAGCTGTGTACGCCTTTTGGCGCCATCTGGTCGAGCACCAATTGGGTTGAGGCTGAAAAGAAAGCCGTCCCTTGGTGTGGACCAATCCGTTTCAAGGACAATGCATGTATTATCGTAGTATGTTTTTTGTTTGCATTTTGACTGCAGGTATTGTGGTTAATGCAGACATGAATCCTTGTAAAAAGGTTTCAGTTTTGTTGCAGGAAAAAAGGGGAAAAACCTTATTCTTAGAGGTAAATAAGTTAATTTAGCACATTAATGTTTTGTATTTATAGCTTTTTGTAAAATGTTTTCGCAATAATTGAGGGAATATTTATTATTTTTAATAGTCACTGACAGCATTTGCATAATAAACACTGTGCATTGTAAATTTACAATTATTAGAATACTTATGGCTATGTTGGTCCTCCAAAGTTAAATTTAAATAAATGTACTGCTGGGAAGACAGAAGCGTGGGATTTTAAGAAACTTCCCCTCTGGTTTAACTGCCATGCTGGAAGATGGGATCAACCCGCAATATTTATTTTGGGCGGGCACAGAATGGAACGTATTTTTCTTACGCATTTCCCTATTTAAAAAAAAAAATAACTTTTGAGGTTTCCAAACAAATTGTGAAGCAAAATCAAATGGCATATTTGCCCACATGAAAACTTGGCTGTTTCTAATGGTGGAAGGTTATAGTAAAACTTAAAACCACACACCTACATGATCTAACCCAAAATAAAGACGTAATGAATAATATTGGTTGGTAAAGCCTACGAAACATACACAACTAATTTTTTAGTATTAGTAATGTTAAAACACAATTTATTTGAGGCATAACTCACCAACGAACAGGTGAATTGTATAACCCTGATAATGTCGTGCTTTATAAGTACGTGTATGTATTATACATTCTGATGCTGTATATGTAGCACTCATAATTTCCAACATTGTATCAACGTTAAATATCAACTGCGCTTCAACTCTTGTTGGAGAAAACACACGTTGCACGGATGTTTCCTCATTGTTCAACGTCATGACGTATTTCCAACCAAAAACTCAACATTTAAACAATGTCACAATCCTGCTGGGAGGGCTATGTAAGTGAATTGTAATATCCATTGTACGGCCACGTGTCAGAAGCAGGTTTTAAAATAGTTAAATTCAATGAGGCTTTCATTAAAATGTATACTGTACATGTTAACACGGAAGAAGAATCATGCACACACATGATTTCTCTAACACGTTTCAACATGCGTTTGCCCACGAAACTTTAATTTGATTACCGTAATTGCATCGGCTTCTTCGACCACGGCGTGATGTCACACGCCACACTGTTCCTTGCCCGATTCTCTACTTGATGTAAACCCAAGGTGAGACAGGTTTGGTCGTGGGGGGCACTACGTTTTATCTGCGTAAATACCCGAATTAATAAACTATGTATAAACAAAATGACGCGTTCACATATGACGTCATCTCATTAGTATAAACAATCGTTTAAAATTCATGCATGAAAAAGCGCACTAACCACTGCGCCACCACTCCATCTGGGGGAGTTATAATTGTTGCAAAAGTCATATCAACAAGTTGTTGACAAGCACCCAAATGTGTCCGCAACACCCACTCAGACTCATTGCATTGGCTGTGCTATTAGTAGTCACGTTGACTAACATGTTATCGTATGCACAACACAACTGGGGTGTTGAATTATTATCAATACATTTAGTGTCATACATAGGCTTTCACCGGCAATGTTATGAATCATAATTTGTTTCTTGTTTAGTTAGAGCTATTAAAATCAATTTTCTCGTGAGCAAGTGGGGCAGATTGATTCTGTTAGGCATTTCTTTTTTTGCTTTTAAATAAATGTATTTGCTACAAAACAGAATCAATTGGTATGTTTGCCCACATGACAACTTGCTTTGCTTGACCAGTCGGGTGGTAGAGGGCTATAGCTATAATTTCACAATCTTACCCAAAAAGAAACCAATTATGAATTATTATATTTATTTACCCAGGAAAGCTTCACTGAGTCTCAAGAGGGTCCTGCTATATTTTTTTGCAGTTTTGGGCAACGATCGACGATTGCCATGTCTTTCTCAATTAAGTAAATTGGTGAATTCGGACCATGACACATGCACACATGGCCTACTCTTTTTCGAATAACGTCAAGGGATCATTAACGTCCACTGAGAAATACACGGGGTCTATTTTCACAGAGAATACACCAGTAATATTAACCAGGTCGGTTGTGGGTCGAACCGCAAAGCTCTGCAAAACAAGCGGCCAACGCGCCACCGCTGGGCCATGCATATCACCGCCCAGACATCCTTCCATTGGCGCACGTGGCGATGATGGATCACGCCACGATCACAAACTAAAAGCCAGCCAACAGCTCGAGGCATGGCTCAGGAACAATTAAGCCACGACGTCTGCCATTAATCACAGTCACAGTCAAGCTGGCTCTTAATCCATGCCCACTCGTGTTGCCAGTGCTGAACATGGATTATAGACAGAGCGCTGGGGTACCTGCATTCCTTAAACCTGTGTTCAGAAATATATTAGCTGTGAACAAACTTAATGTAGAGATGGGCGTTACGAAAAGTATAAATGATTCTTTAGTCTGTAA